CTGACTGGGCCAAGAAAGAGGTTCAGTTGCAGTCGGTTTTTAGCTTTTTTTTTTTTTTTTTTTCTTTCGTTGTTATTGCTGTTGACTGCGGCTTAGGAATACTGGGTCGGGGATTGAACAGCCTCGGAATGCTGTCTGTTGGAGGAGGATGCGTTATCATTATCATTGATAGTATTATTACTGTTTTACTATCATTATTATCAATATCATTACCATTGTTATTGTCATTATTATTATGATTATTACTATTTCATGTTATGGCGGATGATTGTTATGTATCATCATTATTTTCATTTATATCTATTATTATTGAGACGTTGAATCAATTTTATTATTATTTTACTAGTTAATTATCAGCAATTATCATTTATTGTTCTTTATTATTAATCATTCATGTTATTGATTGTGATTATTTATTAATTAGATATCTATTGATTGATAATTATTATATGTTTAGATTTATATTATTAATTTATTATCTATTATTATGTATCAAACTTTACATCAGTATTATTATTTTTACATTAATTATCATCATTATCATGTTATCAATATCATGATTATGTATTATTGTTATCGATCATGTATGTACGTATAAGGTAATGATTATCATCATTATCATAGTTATCATTATCATGATTATTATTATTGTTATCATCATTATTACTATAATTATGATTATCACCATTATCTCTGTTGCCATTACTATCATCATTGGCACCACTATCGCCAGTGTCATTGTAATCATCATTATTGCTTAAGCTTTTAGGAATTAAGATTTACTCTCTCCCTGAACCCTCCCTTTCAACTGAGTTCTCACAGGACGTGGCACAGGGGCAACAGAGTGCCAAGCCCTTTGAAAAGTCGTCAAAAAACCCTCAGAGTTCACAGGGATAAGAATCCAGGTACTTTAAGAAGGTTCACGAAAGCTATATGGTGAAGATCTCTGAACGCAGAGAAAGACGTGTTTTGAACATGTCAGATATCTTCTTTTTAAATCACATATCTTCGGCATTTTCTACTTCTTCCTCCTTTTCTTTTTTTTCCTTTTTCGTCTTCTTCTTTTCTTCTTCTCCTTCTTCTTCTTTTCTTCTTCTTGTCTTCTTCTTCTTCTTCTTCTTCCTCGTCTTTTTCTTATTGCTTTTTTTTTACTTGTTCTCGTCCTCCTCTACTTATTATCATTATTCTTATTTTTCCTTTTCTTTATTTCTCCTTCTTATTCTTATTCTCACTCCTACTTTTTCTTACCTTTCTTCTCTTCCTCTTCCTCTTCCTTTTTCTCCTTCGAATATATACGGGAAAATTAATTATTTGTCAAAATCGGAATCGCGAGCACTTGAACCTCGCCCTCTCGCTCCTTCTCCTCCTGCAGGCGACGCCGAGGGTGAAATCGGTCGTCGTCCTTTTCGAAAGCGCGACAAAAAGGATGCAAAAGCTGATAACACCTTAATCCCCGCAATCAGCGCTGCAAGTGGTACTGACATTTCAGGCCTGATGGACTGCTGTAAATGCAGGATTTTGACGGGTTTTGTACGCGCAAAATACGGCATAATGGCTTTGCAATATGCACGTCACACTTGCAATATTCATTTCAGCTAAGGAAAGACCTCGCATAACAACAAGCTTGAATAGATTTATACAAAACAAAACGACTCCATTTTCTCTTTATCAAAAACCAACATTTTTGTAAATGCTGACTATAGAACAACATCAAGTACAGTCATTATGACAAATCCTGTTGTGACGTCATTTAATAATAAGCAAAGACAAGTTTCTGCCACTACTCTTGACAGTATCTAAAGAAGATATAAAGAATCCAGTGGACCATAATCAAGGAATGATTGCTGTAATCCCGTATCATTCAGGCAAAAAATCGCCGATTTGTACTTTCTGTACTTTTACTGGATATTTTGAAGCTGAAGCGAAACCCAAGAGCTAAGCGGCAGCGGCTTCTTGGAATTCATTATTGCCATCGTTATCCATTTGTTACTGAGATATTACTGTTATTATCGTCATTACTGTTATTGTTATCATCATTACTGTTATTGTTATCATCATTACTGTTATTGTTATCATCATTACTGTTATTGTTATCATCATTATCATCATTATTATTACTATCATTATCATTATCGTTATTACCATCATTTAGTATCTATATTCTTATTATCATCATCAATTATTATAATCAATATTTTTATTATTAGTGCTGTTATTATTATTCATTTATTATCATAAATTGTTGTTTCATTATTATCATTTATCATATCACATATCATTATTTATGTTTCATCATTATGATTATCATTATTATCATTATTGTCATTATTATCATCATTATTATTGTTGTTGCTGTTGTTGTTATCATTATTATTATTATCATAATTATCATCATTATTAGTATCATCATAGATTATTATATACTATTATTACCATCATCATTGTCATTATCAGCATGATCACTATTATTATGGTTATTAACATCATTGTCATTGGCATTATTATTGGTATTATCATTATCATAGCAGTGCAACTATACTACTATTACTACTTCCTCTCTCTCTGTCTATCCATCTATCTGTCTACCTGTCTATTTGTTTATATATTTATCTATCTGTTTATCTATCTACATATCTATCTATCTATCTACTATCTATTATCTATCTATCTAATCTCTCTCTCTCTCTCATCTCTCTCTCTCTCTCTCTCTCTCTCTCTCTCTCTCTCTCTCTCTCTCTCTCTCTCTCTCTCTCTCTCTCTCTCTCTCTTTCTCTCTCTCTCTATATCTATCTATCTATCTATCTATCTATCTATCTATCTTTCTATCTCTCACTCTTTATCTCTCTCTCTCCCATTCTTTATCTCTCTCATTCTTTATCTCTCTCTCTGTCACACATTCTTTACCTCTTTATCTCTCTCTCTCTCTCTCTCTCTCTCTCTCTCTCTCTCTCTCTCTCTCTCTCTCTCTCTCCCTCCCTCCCTCTACGAACTGATCGTGTACTTAAACCCGTGTAAGCGAGAGGGACAAAGAGAATCATACGGATATCAAGCTGTGCTGAGACCGTAGAAGCAGCATCTATTTCAGGACCATGACCCCCTGCTAAGTGGTCTTTGTCTGGGATGTAATCACCGAGGGAAAATAGATGGATTAATACTATATTCCTCTTTCCTACTATTTTCTTTGCACTTACTATTTTCATTTGCACTTTGCACATATCAGCGACTGTGATTGTATCTGCCTGACGTGTATTCGGGGACTGAGTAAAATGGCCGCAGAGCCGTAGAGCCGTAGAGCCGTAGAGCCGTAGAGCCGAAGAGCCGCCTCTTTGTTGTGCCAGATCTTGAGCCGAGTCGAGCTTGACTTTAATCAAGCCACCTGCCCGGGTTGAAATGGTCCAGCTCAGCCGTGACGTCAAAATGTAAACAAACACAATGGCCTTCGTGGCCTATGGATGTCAGCACAAATTACTTCCATTTGAGTTTGATAAAAAATGAAAATAGGTGGGATGTCTGGAGAATTGAGACTATATTTGTTCTAACGTATTTCTAGACTAGGAATTTGGCGAAAT